ATAAACCAATTTGCAGGGCTGCATCTTTAATAATATGTTTATTTTCCCTCCCTTAATCTTGCTTTTGGCCATCACTGTTTATTTTCCTGCATGTTTTTATAGGAATAATCAACCACAGCCAGCTGGAAAAGGGATCCCATGTTACTGCTGTGCAGTTATCACAGTGAATTTTCCTCCACAAAGCCCAAGCAGCTGGTTTGCTCTGTCTGAGCCCTGGTACCATTTCTCTGTGCACACCCAGGGCTGGGCAGTGTTCAGCAGTCCCCACAGTTTTGGAGAGCTTTGTTTTTGGCAGCAGAATTACATGTCCAGTGCAAATCTCACAGTGAATCAAAGGTAAATCAGAGTAAATAAAATGTGAGGTGAGTTTGCACGTGGGGTAGGGGATGAGGGGGATCATCAGCTCAGGCTCATGGAAACACCACATGGCTCCAACCACTGGTGAGGTGGCACACTAAATACTCACCTGAAATGCTCTACAAAAATAGAATTAAATACAGATCTTGGGTTCTTGGGGTCTAACCCAGGTGACAGAGCACTCTTCAAAAGAGACCATTCAAGAAAGACTCTAAAGACTCTCACTGAGGGCATGAAATGAGTATTTCTGTGATAAACCCTGAGAGTGCAACAGCCTTCCTGGCAAACTGAAAGCCTTTGCTACAAGAGTGAAAAGATGAGGGAAGATCTGTATTTAATGGTTTCTTCAGAGAAGAAGAATTACAGCCATGTAATTTGCTTTTCTCCTGAAGAAATGAACTCCAGCTGTTCATGGATATAATTCCTGGTGGAAAGATGACAGCCTCCCCAGAACCCTAAAAGCTGGACATACAGGGCTGTGCTTTGCCTGAAGCCAAGAAACAAGAGAAGAACTTGGCCCAAAAGTTTGTCTTCTCCAAGCAGAAAATAACAAGAAAAGAGCTCATGGAAATAAACAGTGCATTTTGAATTAAGATGGAACCTTTTCATGACAAAGGAATGCATTTATTTAGAACAATTCAAGCTGCTAAAGAGGAGAAAGGAAACAAAAATTTATAAGTTAAAAAAATTTCCAACACAATATAGGATGCAATCATGTTTTGATTATAGGTCTTCAGGTAGAGAAAAAATACTGTCCTACATTTGAAGCTTATCCATAAGGTTGACATTTTTCACACCTGTCTCATTTTTCTCTGTGTTCTATACTCTAGAAGATCCATTTTTTTAGGTTTGCACAGCAAATAAAAATATCAGTGATTAACAATTTAAAAAAATTTTAAAATCTGATAGTAGCAGAATAGTCTTGGCAGAACAAATACTTCTTCCTGATTTTTAACACAGAACAGATTTTCAGAAGCATTTCTGTTATCATTTAAGTGATTAGAACCCAGGTGTCATTCCCCTAATCTCTAAGCAGGATATAAATTAACTAAAAAAAAAAAAAAAACAACAAAACAAAACAAAAAAACCCCAAAAAAACCAAAACAACAAAAAAAACCCATCTAGAAAAAGCCACCTTTCTTTAAGAAATTAAACAGTTTCCATTCTACTTACATGGGGTTGCCACGATGTTTTCTATATTAAAAGCTACATGGAACCCATAAAATGAGGTGCTGGCTTTTTATTCTACTTCAGAACCTCTTGCCAGGAGTGACTTTCACTGCTGGAAGGTTTGAATTGGTTCAAAAAAAAAAGGTTTTATGTTTCTTACATGAAAAATGAAGGGTGAAAAATGCAGTCCAGCAGCTTTGGTTTTTTAGCATCTGAAGAGGAACAATCTTTAAGTAGCAGTTACCCTGTCACCTGTATTTCTTTTTCAGCTTTTCCTTTTATTCTCAGAACATTCCAGGCAGTTGCTTCCCCTCTGAGGCAGATAAAGCAAACTGAATTTGAGGATGAATGAAGCAGAAGAGGAAAGAATCAGGCCAGGGGTGTAAAATTCTGACAAACCTGAGAAGTTTTTGAATCTCCTCACTTCAGAACATTTCCATTCTCAAATGTGAGGGAACTGGAGAAGCTTTCAATATACAATTAAAAGAGGGGAGATGTGGGGGTTTTTTTTTCTGTTATTTTTTTCTCAGATTATGCAGTTTGGCCTGAAGGTGAGCTTGGTGAGCTTCCCAAAGGCTGTTAGACCTGCCAAGAAGGTGAGATCAGCCTTGTCTTCCTTCAGAATGAAGAATTTGTGAGAAAGGCAACAAAAATTTGGGGAAAAATGCAGAAAACTGTTGGAAAGTCCTGTCTCTATGCAATTTCAGACCCCTTTTAGATCTCCTCAAACTTGCATCTCTAAGATAAGCCATTTGTGGAGCTTCACCCCTCAGTGGTCATCTGAGAGAGCTTTCCAGGAAGAAAACATTTCCATCCAGAGAAGGAGAGCACACATCCATCCAGAGATTCCCTATTGTATATTTATCAGAAAATAAAAGATCTAAATGAACAAAAGAAGGCCAAAAAGAGCATCAGAAGTCAATAGCCAGTTCTGGCCTAGTTATGTGCATCTTTCATACACCTTTCTTTCCATTAAATTTATGTGTGTTTTTTATAGAAACAGAAAAATCCCAGTGGAAATCCTTCCTCTGGTCCTTGGGTTGAAGCCTCTGTTTGAGAGAGGATGTAGACAAAAAAAATCTCATTAACACTGCAAAACTTCCTTAAGTGTCTGCGTTGTCAGCTGGGATGGGTTGAAGCAGGAGCACTCCAAGGAGGATGTGCTGGTTGTCTGAAAACAGCACCCAGCCTGTTGGAGGTTCTGTTTCAGCAGTGAGGCTTTGCTGCGGGCTGGGGCCACCTGCCCAAGAGTGACTGAAGAGAAAATAAAGGCAAATAGTCTAATTTACAGCACAAGTGTGGAAACTGGTGCTGTTAGGATTGAATGACCAATGTGGTCCTGGGCCCAGAGTTTCATCCTGGTCTGCCATCCTCAGAGAGATAAAATGAGGGGATGCTCTGCCTTCTTCTTCCACATCTCCAGGAGTGCATTAGACAGCAGAGGATTCCTGCAAATCCTCCCAGGGATGCTAAAGGTATCCCAAACTTTTCCAGGAGCTCTTCTTTTGCTGGCCTCCTGAGAAATGTTTATAGGGGAATGAATCCACCTGAATGGGCCCCACACACAGCTCAGGGCCCTCCAGCAGGGGTCAAATTTCACCCAAGTCCATCACTCTCCACTGTACACCTGGGCACTGCTTTGGAACCTGTTGGCCCATCTTCTTTTTTCTTTTTATTTTTTCCATTCCACAAATGTGAAATGAATGCAAAATAACCAAAGTCATTGAGTAAATAAAATGAGAAGAAAAATCACAGAGGCCTCTTGGCAGAGAGGAGAGAGACAACCTACTAGAGGTGCTTCTACAACTAAGAGCAGAAAGGAAACCAAGATGGATGTTAGCAACGAGACATAATTAATGTTCATTTGGGTTTAAGTAGAGGAAAAGAATAATTTTTCTGTGAATTAAGTGGTCAAAGAGATGCAGAACTAAAAGCTACCTCTCAGACTAGAAAGAGAACTGGAAGGATGTCATTTGCTTTGTGTTGCTCGAAGCTGTTTACACTCACCCCAACCAGAAAGACATCCTGACAGAAGTGCCAACAGGCAACACTCCTCCTACAGCCACCAGGGAGAAAAGAATGCACATTTAGAAGTCATCTTTCCCTGAAGGTCACCAGTACCTGGGCACCTGTTTGTCACAACTGAAATTTGAATTTTCTCTAGTGATGAGTGCTCCTGACTCAATGGAGTCAAGACACAGAAGCTCAGAGCTGAAGATCCATATTTAATCACTTACCACAGAACCCTGGGAATTCCCCAGCTCTTAATCTCCCTACATTTTATGCTCTGCAGATGCAGCCAAGAGACCTCACCATGGTCTCTTGATTTTGATTCTTTCCATAATTTTTTATTAAATTCATGGCTGCATCTTCCCCCCTTCCAAAAAAAGGTATCAATCTGTAGATGTGAAAAAGCAGAATGTGCTGTTTATCTTGGATGAAGACAAAAACCCCAAATCTTCCGAGACAAAAACGTTCTTTAGAAGATTCTTTCAAGAAAAAAAAAAAAAAAAAGATATTTTTCTTAATTATTCACCTCTTTTTCTTGTCAGGCTCATGTAAAACACGCACATCTGATGTGGTGATATCTGTTCTCTGCTGCAAGCTGGCAGAAATACTTGATCTTAGAAAGATCAAGCAGAGCACACCTGAGTGCAATGAAACACTTCACTGCAATGGAAAAGGCAAAATACTTCACATGATTTTCTTCAGCACTCCAGGACAAATTTCACAGCTCCTTAACCTGCACTATATTTAGCACCATGATTCAGTGCAAAGGTCTGGTATATTAAAAAATGCCGTGGATTTTTGTGTTTGGCAAAAGCTGGGGAGAGATATATCTCAGGAATCATTCCTAATAGCCAACTCTTACACCTCAATATTTAATGGCTGCATAATTCCTACTAAAATCCAGAACCACATTTTTCATTACCTAATAGGAAAGGAAATCAATCCCTTTTAATCTTGATCGATGTGTGGCAGTGCCAGAACTGAACAGATTTATTTTTTTAATCAAATTTTACATCATACTTCAGACTCAATTTCAATTATTCTGTTAGTGCAGCAATGGCAGCAACAATGTATATTTTTTTTTAGCAAATCAAGCAATACATTTTAAAAAGCTTTCATAACATTCTGCGAGCTGACATTGGCCAAGCAGCACAATTTTATGAGCTGTCATCACTCCAGGAGAAAAAGAACATCCAGTCACGGTATTCCCAAATCACAGATCCCTGGTTTTGCATTTGATCATTTTCTATTTTTTCAGTTTATCTCTTCAGCTGCACACACCCCCTCTGCTCAGTTCCCCTATTTTGTTTTTCATGTTTTTCCTTCCAGAGCAATTAACCAGTGCCATTCCTCCACACACACAAACACTCCATGGCTTTCCTTTTAACATTAGCTTGCCTTGATCTCACATGAATCATTTCTTTGGTGTTTCTAGACCTTGTGGGCATTTATTTTTAGCATACCTGGGTTTGGATTCTGTTGAGCCCTCGGAACCAGAGGATTTGTCCACGTCGGAGCTCTCTCTCTGCATGATCTATTTCTTCAACATCTTCATTGAGCTCTTCCTCAGGGACCTCCTCCTTCTCAGTGAGCCTCCCTGCCTCCTTTAAAAACTTTAGCCTACTTGTTGGGATGGTTGCAATGACCTAAAATCATAAAAAAGTACTGAAAACATAAGCCTCATTCAAGAGCAACAGTATAACTATCTGCTTATTACAGAAGAGTAATCATAATTTTAGTAAGGTGAGCTAAGCCTGTTCCTAACAGCACTTTGCACTTGGACAACTCCATTTTAGTCCCAAAACTATTTAATTTATTGTGTAAACAATTAGCATGACTTGCACCACTAAACCACAGCGTGAATCAAGTTCAAGGCTGGGCAAAGTCTTATCAATTTAACAAATAGAAGGTAAAACAAGATGGAAATATCACAATGTAATTAAGCAAAGAAAACTTAAACAGATTTATAGCTCTGCAATTAGAGTTTGGGTATTTGCAAAAACTTATGATAATGGGAGGTGAAAATTCATTGTATCTCATGCTGATAAATTTTCTCACACTCCCTTGGTTCATGGATTCAGCTTCCCTTTGTTCCAGCAGCTGGAATGCTTTTCTGGCATTGAAAATTGAGTTTTCTGAAAGGCGTGGATCTGGTTGATGGATTTCTCACAGGACTGTCTCTCACTTTGTCCTTACCATCAATAAATTCTGATTAACTTAACCCCTCTTCTTATTCTCTTTGCTCACCCAAGTGGTCCTTGGAAGTAACTAATACAGGAGAATAATCTTTAAAAATTGCAGATACTGTAGCTGGACAATTATTTTAAATCCATTTCAGTGTTACCCTGTTGGGCAGTAATTTTCTCTTTGTTCTGATTCCTTGCATAAAACCAGGATCAAATCATGGCAATTTAAACAAGACATTACCTGGAACACACAATGCTTAAAGCAAATCTCCTGCAAAACAAATTTCTAAACCTACTTAGCAAAAAACTGCTGCAATTTTCTTTTTTTGTCTTCTTTTCAGCAGCGAGCAACCACAACAGTGAAGCTCAGATGTATGAAAAATGAAGAGAGAACTGAGACAGCTGCCAGAAAATCGGTGAGGAGAGCTTTGGAAAACTGGAATGGATGCAGTGAAGACACATGGAAAGGTTCTGGATATTTTCAGGGTGAAGGCAAACCTCTGAGTTTGCTGAGGGTCTCCTTGAGCTTCACAATCCACAAGGCCAGTTTTATTATAATGTTTTAAAGACAGATTGAAAAAAAAAAAACAAAAACAAAATAACCAAACCAAACCCAGTTTCTACACTACTATAAAACCTTTTTAAAGGGGGGTTGAAAAACAAGTTTCAAACCTGGAAAATTAATGGTGTGGCACAAGCAAAGACAGAACAGGAAAAAAAAAGAAAGGGGAAATGCTCATCAATTAAATACTTACTGAAAGTCCTTCAGCCTCCCAGCTTTCAAACTACAATGGCAGCACTCTACAGAGAGAAACTACTGCAAACTCTGGGATCTGATGAAAATGATGGTGATAAAGGATTTTTAAGCCAATATTCATAAAAAAATAACTCTATTGGGTCAGGGCTGTGTTTGACAGAATGTTCCTCTCTTCCAGCACCTCAGCCAAGCTGATGAGCCTCTGCTCTAATTCTTTCCTTAAGGTGTTTACATGGCTTTTTTTATTATTCATTTATTTTCTGTGTCTGCCTACACCCACCCAGTTCAGGACACAGACTCAATAGATGCAGATTAAAGAACTAAATATTATTCCCAGAAAAATGATCACAGTTTTAAAAAGTCATCAATAATTCTGGGAATGGGATGTTAAATACTTAAGAAAGTCTTGGTTTTCAGAAGAGATGGGAGCTGTCAGAAAACTGTCCCTCCAAGCACCTCAAATTGCTGGAAATTTCTCCTTAAATTCCTTTCAGAAGTGCCTGTTTTGACACCAAAACTTGGAAATCTTGATTGCCTTTCATGGCTCACCAGAACAGCAGGTTCAGCACGTGGATTAAAAATAAATAAAAATAACAAATTTGTTTTGTGCTGGATTAGAATGAGTCACAGCAGCAGAGAAAAGGCTGAGACTGAAGAGAAGCATCACTGCTAAAGGAAAAGAATTCTCTCTCACTGAAGAGCTACATGAAAAAAGCCCTGCCACAGACTATAAATATGGACAAAATTGATTTGTTTTAGCATCCTATTTTCTCTTCTGGTCACAAAATATTGACCACAAGACAGATATTTTTTTCCTCTATATTTGCTTTCCTCTCAGTGCTAAAACTGTGGAGGTGTTCTAATACCAGTTTTAATTTAATGTCTAAGGTTTCACAATAAACCTGGGGCAAGTAAAGTGAAAAAATATGCTGATATTAGTATTAGTTCTTGGTGGTTATGTAATAACCATGGACAACAAAATTTAGAAGCCAAAAAATTTGATCAAATGCTGTGGGAAATTGTCACAGCTGAATGAAGCAGTTTGGATTCTTATCCCTCTCCCTGTTTGACTTCCTCTTTCTCCAAAAGTTGGTGTATTTTCCAAACAGGAGGGAGAAAAAAACCCAACAAATCTTTCCTTTCTGAGATTATCAAACTGATTTTAGGTCTTCCTCCTGCAAGGGTTTATGTCAAATCTCAACCTCAAGCAATAATTAAAGCAGAATCATCTAATAGTGGTGGTTTTCATACAGATAAACACTAAAAGCTGTTCTGATTCTGAGGTTTTTCTAAGGAAAACTGAGGTCAAACTGTCAAAAAAAGGCGATTTTTTTTCCCCAGAAGTGAACAAATAATCAGAATTGAAAGTAAGCATTTATTCACTGCAGTTCCAGTAGAACCACAGCATAATTCAATTGCAGTGGGCAGTTTCTTGACTCTTCATGGAGGCAAACTGTGCATCTACAAATCTCTTTACATCTGAGAGAAAACAATGTAACTTCACATTTTTCTTTACTGCACTAAGTGGCAACAACTTAAATACCCTGTTAGTGCATTCAGAGGTGAAAAAATGTTGTTATTATTATGAACTTTGCAACCTGTGTTTGTACATAAAGGAACAATGTAGAATGTTAACAATACTGATTGTGTGTGTGTATATCACTTACAGAGAGTTAATCTCAATTTATTTAACATCATCTCATTAACATTTGTTTTTTCATCAATACATAATTCTATATTAGCCAATGATGACAGAGGATATGGCAGAAATTGAAACACGTGTTAATTTAACTGCCATTTTTTACAACTATTAAAGGCAAAAAGTTTTAAAAGTTTGTTTTTTTTTTTTTTTTTTTTTCACTCCCTCTTCCATCCTACACTCACAGAATTAGGTGGATGGAGAATCACAGCAGAAATATTTTAAAGGCACTGGAATTTTTCCTATGACAGTAGCAGAATGACAATTTCAGCAAGGGAATTTGCTGGTTGACCTAGAACTGGAACTTCATTTCAGCTCCAAAACTTTGCCACATCCTACAGGGGGAATTTGATTCCAGGGAAGGTCACGGTGCATTTGCCTTTGCTGCATTTTTTTGTGACTAAAAGACTGAAGTTGTGACTCAACATCTTTCACAAAAAAGCCTAACTGAAGATGGCCCTGGTGATAGCACACCCTGCTAGAAAGGAGAGATTTGAAAGTTAACAAAAAGCTCCAAAGGAACAGAGAGATAAATTATCCTTACTAATAAATCTCTCCTTGAAGCTCTCAGAGAGCACCTTGGGTTTCAGTGAGGGCTGCACTGGGCACTGAGAGGAAACCAGAGGAATATCAACAATATCACATCTTTGAATGTGCATCTTCCTGAGTGCTTACCTGACCCCACACCAGCTCTCCTAATCCAATAAATACACACCACATCCACTGGTCCAGCTGCAGGGGAGAACAGCTGAATGGTTTTCCTCCAAACTGGACAATTACTATCTACAAAGAGAAGCATGGAGGAAAAAGGGTCAATTTTTGAGGGGGAAAACACAACAAAACAAAAACAAACACAGCCAGACAAAAAAAAAAAAAAAACCAAAAAACAAAAAAAAAAAAAAAAAAAAAAAAAAAAACCAAAAAAAAACCAAAAACAAAACAAAAAACACCCCAAAACACCTGCATAATTTTGGGCCCCCAAAAAAACCCATCAAACCTCACAAACTTTTGCATCCCTAATTAAAAGTGAGAAAAAGAAATAGCAGTTCAGACTGAAGCTCCTCAGCCTCATATTTTACAGTGGTCAGATATGAATGGTCAGGAAAAAAGAGAACAGGACAGTCCCCACGTTCTCCCCAAGCTGATTTATTGACCCTGATCCAGTTAAATTTGGAATGTCCAGTGCAAGAGAGGCTTTTCCCTCTGAGTAACATTTTATTGTGTATTTATGTGCATCATGGCGAGACAGAGGGTACAGAAAATTCTAGGTCTGTTGGAGGAAGGTGGTGGGAGAACCCCACAGCTTCAGCAGGATAACAACACACAGTCTGAGCAGACTGAGAAGGTTTTGCTAACTGAAAATCAGATATTATTGATGTTTCTTGTTAATATTGCTGCTGCAAAATCAGGGACCTGAAATCACATCCAGAGATTTAAATTTTCCAAGTTTTAAACTAATTTTGAATTAGATATTAAAAACCATCGCTGTGAAATTTTGTTCCTATCGCTGCTGCCTTTCCTCCAATATTTAATTAATTGAGGAATTCTCCTTCTTAAATCACTGTAGCCAAAGCTCAGACTGCTCTTTCCTCCTCCTTCCTCCTCCCAGGAGAAAGGTGCCAATGCTGAGCTGCCACTGCAGAGCTGAGCAATAATGGCAAGATAAAAATAGATTTCTAAATGATAATATCAAATAATATCAAGTACAGGATGGATGCCAGCAAAAGAATGGATGCAGGAGCAGAAGGGGGAATTCTTACAGAAGAAAATTTTGAGAAAAATATGTATTACTGTGAGCACGTTCACTTGTGATGGGACAACAAACTCAGGAGAGGAACATGAGGAATCACAGTCCAGGGGTATCATTGCTGGGAATACTGAGCAGCATTAGGTAGTGACATTGAACAGAACAGTTCAGCTTCAGCTGTTTAAAGGCATATGTGTCTCTTCAAGGAGTAATAAATAACTGTAAAATGCTTTGTTGGTATGCTATTAAACAATTTCTTCTTTAAAAACCAGTTACAATATCAATGGTGGCTGTTATTATTGTACGTGATAAGATTAATTTAAGAAGTAACCCAGTTATAAGGATCAAAATTTCTGTTTTATTAGTATGGCTGCTTAATATTTTCCATTATTAACACTTGTATTGATTGAGAAAATACATGAAACCAGGTGCTTTACTATTAAATGAGCCTCTTGCAGCACTTAGATTTAAAATTAAAGAAAAAAAAAATAACACAGAGAAGAAAAGCCCCAAACAACTTTGTGTTTGATTGTTTTGAGTGGATTTGTGTTATGATTTGAGTGAATTTGTGATGAACAGCAACTGCTTCTTGCCCAGAGCTTTACCTGAATGGCGAATGTGCCCAGGACAATAGTGCAAAAAATGGGGTTTCTGAAGATGCCGTCGAAGACGTTCCTCTCGCCGTGGATCTTGCGGGCATTGATCTCGTTGAAGAGCTGCATCATGACAAAGGTGTTGAAGATGATGGTGTAGTGCTCAGAAGGAGGAGAGTGAAGAGGGGCGTTCCTCCCACTGTCAATCTTAAACATTTTCTCACCTAGGTGTAAGACAAAAATAAAAGATTCCTCTAGAATGAATCCAACAGGTTTATATTCCCCTTGTTTTCTTCAGCCTGTTGCCTTCTCTGCTTTGCTTTTTCTAGATACAACTTTTCTTGGACCAATGAGCAAAACACATCTCAACTGAGCAAGAATCTGTTAAATGCTGCCTTTTATCTAACAAAACCTAATTCCTATCTAACAACACCTACACAATGTTGTTAGTCCTACTTTTACCTACCCAAGTAGGAATTACTCTGACCACTCAATTCTTTCAGCTGTGACAAAATCTTAAGGTCATTGCCAGATTGTTTGAATTTTCTGCAATGGTTAGAAGCCACTCCTCTTCATCACGTTTTACCCATTAACTAATCAGTAACTTCTGCCAAGCACTGAAGGATATCAGTCACAAAAAACTCAGGCATTTCTGGTTTTAAGAGATTTGGGATTGTGCACCAGCAGGTACTGCTGTTTAGTTTGATAATTTGGCTTTCACTCATAGGTCTGATCAATCAAAAAGCAACAATGAGTAACTAAAAATTTGGCGAGCTTTGAAAAAATAGAGTTAAGATTTTTTTTTAATACCACAGTCTGACAGGACTAGACAGTGAATGCTGGATTTCTGATGTCTCAGAGACATTTATGTTTTGTATTTTCAAATACAATGTATTTCTAAAAATAAAAAAGATAAAAACTTGATGTACTGGTCTCTGAAGAAAATTCCTACAAAAGAATTGACCAAAATAGAAATAATTCTCATTAATTTGAAATTTAATTATGGAGGCACTGAGTTTTTCACATCATGTCACTGCAAAGCTGAGCCTTGTGGAGTTTTGAAAAGAAAAGATTATTTCCAAGGCTTATCAGAAAATTGTCTGGGATGTGTCCTTCAAAGTATGCAGGAGTTTTCCAAAGACACACAGGAGAAATTAGAACAGGGGAGGAAGGCCTGGTTTGCTTTTCATCTGAATTAGTATAAAGTATTTTAATCCATAAAATTCATCAAAAAGCCATTCTAACTATCCATAAAGTTCACAGAAGTTCTTGTTCCAAGATGCATATCAAATGAATTACCAAGAGTTTCTTCTCCTATTTTAGAGAACCTGAAATTCCAATTACTTAATGCAGATATTCTCAAAATTCCCGGTAAAACTAATCATGTAAGAGACTACCTCTATTCAGAAACCTGACAATTCTTTTGGTTTAATTCCATTGTGAACAGATCATTGCCTCCTCTGAGCATCCCAAATAAGCTGCCAGATGGCCATAAGTGGACAAAGCTTTCACAATGGAGCACAAAAACCTCCTAAAATTCATAAAATTCATAAATTTACATTTGCAGCTACTCTAGAAATCTATGTATAAGAGGGAAAAAAAAATGAAAGAAAAACTGAAAGACAACACATATGATTTAACAGTGACTACAAAGTGACAAGAAAACAATACCCAGCTGAAAAAAATCATCTGTCCTTTGAGAGGGTTCAGTTATTGTGGAGCAACAGAATCTATTATTAGCTCCTACTATTCCCTGCAGCAAGAAACATTTCTCCTCCTTCCCTCTCCTCTCCAAAATAGAACCTATAAAAAGCATCCATTGCCAGCAAGGCCTGAAGAAGAATCCAGTAATCCAATAAATTAGACTTTTCGCCCCCTTTTAATATTCATTCCAGAACTTAAATGTCAAAGCAGAGTGTTATTTGTATCACTTAATACTGATTACTTACTTTCCATACCACTGAAGATCAACATTATTTCTGGACTATGGACAACACTTTGCCCTTGGTAAAATGGATCTTGATTTTTACTGTGGTTTGTTTTGCAGGAGTTTTTAAATTTAAGTCCCCACTAACCACAACAAGCCTCACAATGAAATCTCAGTGTTGAAGCAGCAGAGTGGACATTCCTATTACAGCATAACCTTCTATGCTGTGTTTGGATACAAACTTTTGCCAAAGCCCAAACCTGTATTTTACGTGGGGAGAAAAGCTCAATGAGGCCATGCCCAAGGTAACAACACATGGAAAGTGACTACAACATGTCATCTGCCCTGCTTCCCATCCCATCAACCAGGATTCACAGAATTCACAGCATTACCAGGTTGGAAGAGACTTTCAAGATCATCGAGTCTAACACAGCTCTAACACCTCAGTTAGCCCTGGCACCCAGTGCCACATCCAGGCTTTGTTAAACACTCCAGGGATGGTGATTCAGAATCACACAGAATCACAGAATCACAGAATAATGAGGCTGGAAGAGACCTCTAAGATTATCAAGTCCAACCTATGCCCTAACACCACAACTAGACCACAGCACCAAGTGCCAAGTCCAGTCTTTTTTTAAACATATCCAGAGATGGTGATTCCACCACCTCACTAGGAAGACAATTCCAGTATTTTATTATTCTTTCAGTGAATTTTTTTTTCTCCTAATATCCAACCTAAACCTTCCCTGACATAGCTGAGACTGTGTCCTCTTGTTCTGTCAGTGCTGCCTGGTGGAAGAGACCAACCCCCACCTGTCTGCAACCTCCCTTCAAGAAGCTGTAGAGAGCAATAAGGGCACCTCTGAGCCTCCTCTTCTCCAGTCTAAACACCCCAACACCCTCAAACGTTCCTCACAGGGCTTGTGTTCCAAGCCCCTCTCCAGCCTCGGTGCCTCCTCTGGATGCGTTCAAGCATTTCAACGTCCTTCCCAAACTGAGGGCCCAGAACTGGACACAGCACTCAAGGTGTGGTCTCACCAGTGCCAAGTACAGGGGAAGAATGACCTCCCTGCTCCTGCTGGTCACACAATTCCTAATGCAGGCCAGGATACCATTGGCCTTCCTGGACACCAGCACATTGCTGGCTCATATCCAACTGGCTGTTGACCAGCACCCCCAGGTCCCTTTCTGCCTGGACACTGTCCAGCCATACTGTCCCCACTCCACCACCTCCCTGGGCCATTCCAGTACTTGATCATTCATTCTGCGCAAATCTTTTTCCTAAGATCCAAAAAGAAGTTTAAGGACAACAAAGGCAGGCAATAAGCGCGCGTTAATTCATTACATTTAAAGCATTTTGACACTTCGGCTGCACAACCCAGCTGCTCGTGAGCTGAGCAGAGTCTGGGCGAGCTCCTCACCGACAAAGAGCAGGGTGAAGATGAGGGTGAGCTGGTAGACGGCGTGGCCCAGGATGTTCTTCATCATGGTGCGGGAGATGAGCGGCTTGTTGCGGCCGTAGGGTTTGCGCAGCAGCAGTGCCTCGGTTGGCGGCTCCGTGGCCAGCGCCAGCGAGGCGAACGTGTCCATGATCAGGTTGACCCACAGCATCTGCACGGCCTTCAGGGGGGAGTCCTGAGGGGGAAAATCAGGAAGGTTTGTATTTCCCAGGAAAAGCCTGGCTGGGGGTTAATTTTTCCCATGAGACTCAGAAATCCCTGCGCTGAGGACCCTTCTTCCGTTGCTGGGACCCTTCTTCCATTCCTTCTGCAGGACCAGGAGTACAGTGATCTGAGCAGAGAGAAATTATCTCCCTACAGGCATTTAATCAGCGCCATTAGCAACCACAAAATTCGTACCAAGCATGACAGTAACTCCTTCCAACACCTATTGCAATGCTCTCTGTTCCTTCCTGCATCGTGCTTGAATTTTCAGCTGAAATTAGATATACCTAGAGAATCCAAGTTTCTCTCTTGGAAGAAAAATTATATTGAAACAGATTAAAAAGTAACATTTCCTTTATACTAAAACCTACCTGTCTTTTTGTTTTTTATTATTTCTTCAGAGATAGCTTGAAATTATAAAAATTTATGGAACAATTACAGTGACATCTTGATACATTTCACTTAAATAAGATCTTTAACAGTAGTGACATAACAAAAAAAAAAGCCTAATATTTTGATAAAAAAATAATCTGAAACGTATTAAACTACATCAAATGTGCAAAACCAAGACAACCTATTATTTTTGTAGTAAAATGAAAGCATATGAGGCACTATGGAATGAAATGAAAAACCCCAATACTGGCATTTGATGCAGGCTGTGGTTTCAGAAGCAGCTCTCCAGTCACTAGAAGGAGCTCTTTCCTCACACAACCCCATAAAGTCTGCGGTCATAATATAGAGGACTTTAGGTCATGTTTAAAAACCCCAAAATTAACTAAATAAAGCAAAGTTACACAGATCTCAGGAGGATGCTGGACAACTCCTGCAAAGTTTTGATGTGTAACTCCTTGGGGCAGCTGTGAGGAGAGAGAAATGTTTCAAGGAGCCAGGGGAGGAAAAACGAAAAACTCAAACTCCTGTGCCTTTAGACTCCATATAAAACAGGCAGCATTAGTAAGGTCTGCTTCCTGTTCCAAATGAACCGTTTTTATGAGGGGAAAAAGAATCAACAAAGTAATAAGACATCAACATGACAAATTTCATCATGAAATTGAGTTATTCTGTTGTGTAAAAGCTAGGAGAGGGAACACTATTTTTATGTATTTCATTACCATGGTGCTGCACCAACAACACAAAAACAATGTAGAGGACAGGATACAAACCAAAGCAAAGTCAACAAAGCTCCCTGAGAACTCTGCCCATTTCTTCAAAGGGTTAAATGTTCATTTTTAATGAATTACCATAAAAGAACATGCATTCAGTATCCCAAGGACTGATAGAAAATAGGGGTAAGTGCTTTGGTCTCTTGAACATCTGGTTTAGATTCCAACTCTCCCTTGAGATAAAATATTATTTCCCCTTAAAAACACATTTTTAACCCATTTACACTGATTTTGATTTTTTAAATATTTATTAAAAATAAATAACTTTTGGCTTATTCAAAGGGATGGAGGAAACGACCTCCTGTTTCTCCTCCAGTCTTGCAGGCTGGGTTCATCACGGCAAGGAGGACAATTAGCATTAATAGATTCTTGACCTCTTGGTTATGGGTTGCATCAACTGGGCTTATCTGCAGAGCTCAGCTCACTCATTTGAAATGCAGCTGCAGAAACAGAAAATGTCTTTGTCTTTAGACAAAACTAAAAAACTAAAGGTGATCCCAAACTTCTTCATCCCAAATCGAGATTTCATTCATTTTTGTTAATTTTAATGGCTCCAACAAAGAGAGCACTTGCAGTAAAAAGCAGTTTGTGCCTGGAGCTCACAGACTCTTGATGGGACACAGGCAAAAAGGAAATATCTTTTCTGTGGAACAGTTTTCCTTATCATGTTTTTGCCTGTCTCATTAACAAGTTTGAGCAACCTTCTCTGCTTTGATCTGTTGCAAAAACTCAATTTCCACTTCACGCACTGAATTCTCTGTCAATAAAACCACATTTCCCTGTTACATTTAATAGATGGAGTCAGAGATTCAGGTGTCTATCAGAGCCTGCCATATTCCCAGCAGAACAGAAAAGGCAGGGTATTTCAGTCTCTAAATCACACAACTGTAATTGGCAGTCATCAGTTTTGGCAACAACATGTTCTCACCATTTCACACTGCCAGTCACCTTGGGTGGCTGTGGTGCCCCTAATAATTATCTATTATTGGCAGTGCTACACTGCTCAGTGGAGTGTGAGAGCTCATTCGAGGCTGAAGCCAAAACATTAAATACACATTAGTCTGGGCAGGCAGTGGAATGAAATTTCCACTGTAACTCTATCTGATTTCTGATTAGTTGGTGGAAACTGAGGAAAATACATATCGGCTAAGGAGCTTAGGCTTCCACTGCAGACTTTAGTCACTTTTGCATGTGGGATGCAAATCAACCTTCTTTTTTTTGTGTTTTAGCCGCTAACTGACCGGCCAGTAATTCTTAATTCCCTCTCTGAAAACTTTGGGGATGTGAACCACCCAAAATCACCACTTATTCATCAAATTCCTCTCACTTGACCTTGGAATAGGTTAGCCTTGTCCTTGAGGTAAAAGGAAAATGTTCCTTAAATCAAGTGATGTTACACTTCATCTTGGAAACACTTAAAAGTACAAATCGCCAAAGGCTGGAAACAAACTACAAATCTTTTGTGACATGCAGAGCCTCACAAATTTTAGAGCTTGTTTCTTTTGATTTAGATGACAAGCTGCAAGGGAACAAAAAGGTATTTTCACCCTTACCTCTTTAGTCCCGTTTGCCACAGAACACATGCAGGGATTCATAAAAATTAGCATTTCTGGGAGTTACCTTTCTATACATTAATGCAAAAAAAGTCCCTGTGCTGCTAGATCTCACTGTCTGCTAATTGTATGGAAGTGGCATCCTCAATTCCATTCCCATGACTTGCCAAAACAAAGCTAAATAGTACAGACTTTGATTTTATATTACAGCTTCTTCAAGTTTGCCAGTGCTATTATTTTAGAATTTGCCAAGTACAGTTCTGCAGTAAAACATTATAACCACGTAAATTACTCCCTTTTACATGTAAGTATAGATCATCCTCATTTTTTTGAACAAGATCTGTAAAAACAATCAGTGATTCATGCAGCAGTTCATTGCTACAGTGCCTTTTAATTAACATTTAATTTTCCAAACATAATGTCCTATGGAGTCACTGTTTTCAGCTCCTAATGTCTGCTAAAACACTAAGTCTCTCTCAAAGTGCAAGAATAATAATTTGAATGTAAAATGCTAAAACACAGCCTTTGTCTTCCCTTTCTTCAGTGCAACCCTTTTGAAGAGTTACAATTGCCTCAACAGTTGGAGCCACAGACCGAACCTGGCACGGAGAGAAACCCGCTTGCTTTGTGGCTCCAGTAAAAAACTCTTTCCATTTGACTGAGCTGCATTTTAAAATCTTCATTTTGTTCATAGCCAGATCACTCTGGACAGCTCCAAATGTAACGAGCTGATATCCCCTGTGTGTTGTGTGTTTTTTGGGGACAGGGAGCGGGGTGAGCCCATACAGCCCATATAGGACACCCAGAGATGTGGAGCAGTGACTCACTGCAAGCACAAAACTCACAAGAATTGTAGGCAGAGCTCCAAAGAACCACCCTCACTGCCTCAATCAGGGGGCTCTGCAAAACTGCTATTCAGAGAATGAAGTCAGAATATAAAAGTTTGCAGCTCATAAATCCCCTGGAAAAACAAACAGCGGATTTAAGCTGAGGCAGTGACTGCAGAAGAGAAAGGACAATTCCATACAAACTGGTCAAGACCACCACACCCTGACCACACCAAAAGTGTGCAGTGGGCACCACAGGGAAGGCAGCAAGAGGGAACTGGGTTAGATTAATTAAAAATAAGATGAATGAGCCCAGCTGAGCTGCGCTGATCCACTCAAAGCTCTCTGGGAGTAACCAGAGGTGTGAACTCCTGCAGGGTCTGTGCACACACAGACACAGAGCTAAAGCCACCCCTGCACCCCAGACTGAGGGCTCCCGAGTCAGCTCCCACCAGAGACTTCTCCAAGCTCTGTTTTCCTGGATGACCCAGATCCCAGAGTGCCTTACGTAATTACAGACTCACGACACAGAAGTTCATTATTAGCTGAAAATTCAGATCTTGTGGCTTATAGATTGCGCAGCTGTAAACTGAAACAGGGCCCCGTGTAAGTGAGATCCCTTGGAGGGGTGGTTGTGGCAGCAGCTGTGCTAAGCTTGTCAGCAGGTGACACTGGATCTGTAATTCTTATGCTGCTTAGAATATGGTTGCTGTCACCTTAACATGACTTCGTGCTGGGAGCCAGGGGAGACAAGAGAAACAACCATTTGCATTGGTCCTGTGCATAATAAGTTCTTTGACAGCCCACTGTTTGTCCTGCATAAGCTTTATCTGGCACTGGAGCAGTACAGAGACATTTTGTACACATCACTATCAACTGAAACAGCAAACCAGGACAAAACAGAAATCGTAGATATGGCAGATATTCTCTAATAGCAGCATCTTCTTGAAGCAGGCATTGGGTAGATGAAAAATAAAATTATATTGGCTTAAAATTATCAGAATGAAACTAAACAGCAGTTCCCTAAAGTGGAATTGGCAAGGACCCTCACTTCATTAATCTACTTGAGGAAAAAAGCAGCAGATTATTAAAATGGCCACTAATGGTCCCAGGTTCTGCCTAATGTTTTTCTTAAGCTTCTCCATGGGCCTCCCAAGGTGCCCTGGACCAAACAAATCATACCCTGTGTGGGTAGTGCACTCTCTGGGTGCCCCTCAGAGGGTTGGCTTCACTCCCACCACACTCACACAGTCATTAATTAATTCATTAATACAGAATTGCAGTGCTTTCACTTGGAGGCCTGCAGGGAGATGATCACATTCTCATATTTACATGTTACACCAGAGCAATTGCAGGATCAAGACTGGATAAAATCAAACCCATTAAGTTGCAAAGCACAAGCCAAGTGTTAAAAAAAGATCACTCCAAGCAAAGATTTTATTATCTTTGCACTTCCTTTAAGCACAAACCAAAAAGAGTAGGTGAGTGTGCTGATTCCAAACTACAGAACAGATAATCTGAGAGGTGGCATGAGGAAGAAGAGAACAAATGTTATTACCTACAGAGAATTTTTCTCATTCTAGATATGAAATGTCACCAAAAGAACAGCCTGTGTGATGTTCATTAACCTGAATGTTAATGAAGGACTGAAATTATATTCTGTGTGTCAGAGAAAGCCAAACTGACCACCTAAACCAAAGAAAAACTCGGTCCAGTGTGGACTATGTTCATGTTCATTTTGAAGGTCACAAGAAGCTGTGCTGCCTTTTGGAAACTACAGATTTAAGCTCTGTCTGTTTGCTTGTTAAGAACTAAAACATTTCAGTCAAAACCTTTCGGCCAGGCCTGTGCAGAGTTCTGCAGATTTGGAAGTACATGTGTGCACCTAGACTGTTGTAGGCAAGATTTTTCTGGGAGACTCCTGCACTTTGTGCTGGGGCTATTTTCATAGCAACCAGAGGGTACAGCATGTTCCCAAGTGCAATTTTTAGCAAAGCTTTCAGGACAAACAGAATGTCCTTTGGCTGGCTGGAGTCAAAGCCTAACACAATAATGTGCATTTGTGAGGCAAAATCCTTCTTGAATGAGACAGAACCGGGAGCAGCTCGAGATTATTCACACTGAGTGTAAACAGTGGCGAAGGACAGAACTGCTGCCTTTTTGCTTCCATTTCCACTTCAGCTTCCCCCACACCTTTCCTTTAGGTTTGCACCTTTACTGCCAAATTAAGGAATTGCACAAGAATCTGCTTGCAAAGCAACCCAGGAGTTCCAGAAGGTGTCCACAAAAACCTGTGAGCAGGGACAACAGGCCCAGGGATGGTCTCACAGACCTCCAGGGCAAGAGAAATGCACTGGGCCTGATCCAAATCCTTGTAGAAGCCAAAGGAGTGATTCAAAAGATGAAAAAAGCTCCAGAATTAAAAAGGGGATTATGCTTGTACTGATAATGCACTTCACATCCACTTAGACTTGATTTAAAATAGTCCTTGCACTGATCCAGCATTGTTTATCCTCCTCAGGGATAAAAAATTATTGGTTTCCCTTTGTGCTTTCACAAAAAAACTGAAGAAATGCTAGACATTGACCAAGAAATTTCACCTTAAACTAATGTTTACAGTCAGACACTGATTGTCAATAAAATCAGTTCCAGTGATGGTGCTGCTGTCAGCACCTTGTTCTGGCTGAGTTTGTACCACATGTTAAAACCCCCCAGAGTTTCAGTTCTTATTCTTGTGTCACCAGCAACAATCATTTTACAGCTGGGCATTTCCTCAATATGCTGGGAAATATTTCCAAAGGGAAATTAATCCAACTTTGCTGCAACTCCACGAGTTTTGTCCCTCAGCACAGGCTCAGTGGTGACAAGAAGGGACCTCCAAGGCGCCCAAATGCCAGCCAGGGCACAGGAGAAGTTTGAGGTCATGGGTTTGTTAAAGTACCTGGGTTTCTGGTTGCAAGGATCAATTCCATGATTCCAATGTAAGTTTAGCCTGGAGCAGAGCTGATGACTTATTCATTGCTTTGCTCAGGTGTGCCTGGGCTGAAATGTACCTGCTGAAACAGGTATGGGCATCTGGGTGATGCACCATGAGGGAAGCATCAGCTTTCCCACGGTGCATCCCAGTCTAGGGGGGCATTGTGACAGCACCTGTCTGCAGCATCTAAAATACGCATTATTTTAGAGACTGACAGCACTAAAAATCCACATTTTGTTATTTTCTCATTAAAACAAAAACCTCACACTGTACTGCATATATCCTGTTTACTCTCTAGAGGGAAAAAAAAAAAAAAAAGTAATTGTATTGCCCAAAAAATTATAATTTGAGGAAAAAACATGTTTTCTTTGAGATATGCTTCTTGCAAATGACCTGGACATTGCAATGAAGGATTAATGGAGTGGAAGAAAGAGAGGTCTAAGTCCAATTCTATGTGTCATTTAATTGGTTTGTCATCTGCATCTGGAATTAAAAGTAACTGCCTGAAAGCAACAAAATAATTTTATCAGTCAAAAAGATTGTGTGTCAGCACTGCTGTCTTGAAAATAACCTCATTCCACAATACATTAAAAAATCATGTATTTATTAGTGAAGTATTCTGAGAGGAAAAGGCAAATTGACATAACCTGCTCATTTCCCAATCTATGGTGTTTTCAATTTGACCATCACAGGCTCAAGGATGACAACACTGAGGGAGGCAAAAAATCTCCTAAAAGGGAGTTTCTTTGGGGAAAAAGCTGGATTAATCCAGCCTGACCTCAGCAGCTCTTTAACCCTCGGCAGCCTGATCCTTGGAATGCTCAAGAGTATCCTTGGAATGCTCAGGACCTTTCCAAAGGTTTTGATGCCACGACAATTTTTTGCCCTTTTCTTATATACTTTTTATGTATTCTCAGTGCTCTTAGCATGCATACTTGTAATTTTTCAAGTCTGATAATTTAGCATAGTCCTGATATTCTGTTAAGCCAGAAAACCAAACATCCTAAAGGCCTTGCAGTTAGAGGCCAGAAAGCCTTAAACTGCCTTAAAAAACCAAAGGTCTCCTCTCAAATACATCCTGTAAACTAATACTAAGCCCATTCAGGAAAAAATAATTCAGGATAAAAAGATACCACACTATTCAATCAAGCATCTCATTGGGGCATCTTTGTTGGATATGTTAATTTGCGAGGTCTATAAAAGTGCATATGCGATCTATCATGTGTACGCATTTCAGCGTGCTCCACCTTGGTGAAGTGTTACACCACAAAAATCCTTGTTAAATACCAAGGTAAAAACCCTTTAGCCTTAACCAAGCCTAGCTCTTCATTTTAGGACCAAGGAAAAGGCATCAGTTTACTTGCTGTGTCCCAAGCAGGAATCAAATGCAAGGCCCCATCCACTGGTAGCATGGATCCCAGCAGGATTTCAGCAGGATCCCAGAAGGATCCCAGCAGAATCCCAGCTGGATTTCAGCAGGATCCCAGCAGGATCTCAGCAGAATCCCAGCTGGATTTCAGCAGGATCCCAGTAGGATCCCAGCAGGATCACTGCTGGATTTCAGCAGGATCCCAGCAGGATCACTGCTGATTTCAGCAGGAACCCTGCTGGATTTCAGCAGTATCCCAGTAGGATTTCAGTAGGATCCTATCAGGATTTCAGCAGGATCCCAGCAGGATTTCAGCAGAATCCCAGCAGGATTTCAGCAGGATCCCAGCAGGATCACAGAAGGATTTCAGCAGGATTTCATCAGGATCCCAGCAGGATTTCATCAGGATCCCAGCAGGATCTCAGCAGGATCTCAGCTGGATTTCAGCAGGATCCCAGCAGGATCACTGCTGGATTTCAGCAGGATCCCAGCAGGATCACTGCTGGATTTCAGCAGGAACCCTGCTGGATTTCAGCAGTATCCCAGCAGGATTTCAGTAGGATCCTATCAGGATTTCAGCAGGATCCCAGCAGGATTTCAGCAGAATCCCAGCAGGATTTCAGCAGAGTCATAGCAGGATCTCAGCAGGATCTCAGCTGGATTTCAGCAGGATCCCAGCAGGATCCCAGCAGGAATTGCTCACCTGGGTGATGCAGGCGCCGGTGAAGGCCACGATGACAGCCACGATGTTGACCGTGAGCTGGAACTGCAGGAACTTGGAGATGCTGTCGTAGACGTTGCGGCCCCACATGACGGCCTTGACGATGCTGCTGAAGTTGTCGTCCGTCAGGATGATGTCCGAGGCCTCCTTGGCCACGTCCGTGCCCGCAATGCCCTGGGGAAAGGGGTTGGGAATGAGATTCCCTGCTGGACAGCACAAATATCCATAGTCAAAGCCCACAGCTTTTTATATTTCCTGGAATTTCACTAATTTGGCCTGGTTTTGATGTGAATTAGGCCGCAGAAAAGGGAATTGACAGAGAGCAGAGGAGTTTATGTGGTGATGGCTCTGAGTGTTTTATCAGCTTAAAGACTACTGATCATCTGAGGTGTTTTTGTCACTGATGATGTTTTTTTTTATCCATGAACAGAACTGGTAACAAAAATGAGAATTATGTGTCTTTACATATAGTTAGAGTACGCATGGAAGATACCTTTCCAATTAGTGGTGGATTTTACCACAGCAAAAGAGAACTTCGGTGTTGTGAAGAAAATGTTCTTTTTTTCTGTATGGGCACAGGATTCTGCATAAAGCCAATGATTAATTAGACAAAATCCTGAAGAAGTATGAAAACAAGCAATGCCAGTGAACCCAAGTGAATCAAAGGATTCTGAGTCAACATAACTCATTCCCACCAATATATTCCTTCACTGACAAGGAATAACGAAGCAAGTTCACATTTAATGAATGGAAAAGCCCTTACAGCAAATTCATAATGGCACAAACATCAAGATTATACCATTGCAAAGCCAACATCAGCTTTTTTAAGTGCTGGTCCATCGTTGGTTCCATCCCCAGTCACAGCTACCACCTGCCTCTGTTCCACCTGTGTGCTGTCAATAATACCTGCAAAAAATGTATGTATGGGTGTGTGTTTAGAGACATTTATGGGCAATAATTAGCAAGAGAAAATGTCCCTGTAAAAAAAAGCAGGGTCTGTATAATACTGATTGGATAACACCACACAGTTTTACAGAGATTAAAAAGGCAGAACTTTAAGGAAAATAATGATGAAAGCTGTGGCATCACCACCATCCACTGCTAAACATCACCATTAGAATTTACATGGAAAGTTCTGATCCTGCATCATCAACACATCAATAAAACCTGCTCAGGCTTCAAAGGCAATGAGAGCAGCTCATTATGTCCTTCTGTCAGATTCCTGCTCTTTAAAGTTTTGTGTCACAGCCCAGCACTGATCAAACATCGATGGAAAGGATTTGCCAAAAACTTAAGTTCATGTTTAGGGCTCTCCTTAACTGGGACCCAGCTGTAATATCAGCTTTACTAAGAGGCCTTCTTAACCTACAGATAACAAAAGCCATTGATGAATTTTATTTGGCTGGAGAATTTTAGCAACCATGTTCAATTCTGCCAAACAATAATTAAGGAGATACAAACTAATTCTTTAAATTCTGGAACCAAGCATTTTAATAAATAGATATAATAAAATAATTTATACTTTTGAGATCATTTGAGAGAAATAAAAAACACTTTTCACTTGGTGAATCAAGTTTCTCACACAACAAGGCTGCAGAAAATTATTTTCCACTTATGCAGATAAGGAAAGTCAGGAAAATAATGAAGAATTTTTCAGAGGCTACAGAAGGAGCCCAGATTTTTATAGGATGAAGCTCATTCACCACTCATGTTTCTATTTCCATGTCAGAGTGCAATTGAGTATGAGCCCAGAACACAGAATTGTTGTGTAGGATACAAGAACACATTTCCATATTGATAACTTAGGGGAGGAAAATGACAGAATTCCTTTTGCTAACACATTTTACACAAAGTCATTACCTCCAAAAACAATTATCCAAATCTACACAGTGTGAAAAGCTTTTGCTCTGTTCTGGAAAAAAAATTCCCTCCCATATCAGATAACCAAGAAGAAATAGGAAATTGCAGATTACAGAGCAATAGCTGCCTCTTGGCAAGGCTCAGGCTTATCAGGCACCAGAAGATTGCAGTGCCCTGTGAAAGCAGTTAGTGCCCTGTATTTTTCAGAGTTATGAAAATGAGAAAAAAAAAGCCCTATTCACTTTCCACTGGTAGCATGATCTCAGAAAAATGGCAATTACTCTGATAAGATCTCACAATTAGAGCTTTCAGCTTGTTGGGGTGATTTGCCTTTGGTATTACTAAATAAACAGGAACGTCATCTGTCATCACTGTTAAAAGCATTTACTTTGTCTTGTTATTAACACATCCTTTGATGTTAAATTAATAGTTTAAGCTTCTGAAAAAAAAAAAAAAAAGTCATCAAAATCTCTGGCTCATTAAGGTATTAACTGCTCCAAACAGGTTGATTGTATCCGCTCACAACCAGGCTCCAAGTGGGAGCACAACCCAAATCAAGTTGAAGAGGCTCAAACAAATGATCTCCTAATAGAGATAAATGGATATAAATAGTGACTGTGCTGATGACTGTGCCACCAGCTGCCCTCCACCAGCCAGCTCCTGGGTGCTGCCAAGTCATTCACAAGGTTTAGGAGACACTTTTATCCCAAAATACAAACTATGCAGCCAGGATGAGCCCAGAGCGCAGACCTGAATGCAGCAATGGAAAACCAGACATAAAAAGGTCTCAGGTATCATCAGCACATGAGTCCTAGACCTTCCCTGCAGTGCCCACTTGGGAGTGCCACAGGAAATATGTGGAATTCTGGGGATGGATTTCAGTGCTCCCCATAGAAGAGAGAAGGACTTTGCAAAACTCCCATCTGTACATCAGACAAATTTCTAAAATGGAGCAGCCATGATTATTTGGGATTCAGAGGATTTATCACAGCTCTGCCAACACTCCCTGACTTCTGCTTGCTCTTTGGAATCTGTTCTTCCTCCCTGCTCCCTCCCATCACTGAATGTTTACCTTCCTTCGAGCACATGCCTGCTTCCAAACACCTTAAGGTTTGTTTTCAATATTCTGTTAAGGGCTGTGATAAGGTTTCACCTCAAGAATTTTCTTCAGTACTGAGAAATGTGCACACATAAAATTCACAGTGGGAGAAGACCAAAGAGAAGAAGGATGCCCATTCCCTCTGAGCTGTGGGGATTAATCTCTGATGTGATCAGGGAATAATGTGACTGAGGGCACTAGCTAACAGGCTGCCAGTAAAGAGAACATTCCCTGGCCTTTGCACTCAGTCCAAGTGGCTGTAAAGAAGCTCCAGTAATAATTAATCATGTCTAACAGCCGGAATATTTCTTCCAACTATATAGCTTTACTCCAGTTGAATGCTTACATACAGAATTTTAATAAAAATTAAGGTTTTCACAGGGAATTCTACTCTCAGCAAAGCTTCCTGCCAAAACAGTCTTTGCTCTTTCATTGGCTTCTTCCCTCATGTTGAGCTGTTTGGCCATGACTTTTCTTCTGTCAGAAAGAATTTCATTCAACAGCCCCAGGAGCACACCTCGAGCAGAGCATGACAGTGTGCTCCACACAGGGATGCCGCTGATGTGGCAGGAATTTGGTTAGGAAATTTGGGCAGGAATTTGTCCTGTGGCTTGCATAAGACACAAGTTTCTCAGAGCAAGCAGCTTGTGTCAGATGAGGGTGAAGATCAGATTTAAAACAACCATGCAGAGCTGTCAAGAAGGGCTCTGAATGCATAAGCCTGCCATAAAAACTACAAAATACAAGATACAAAACTGAAATATATCCTACATCTCCCACCTTCCTCCCATTTCACACTAAGCAAGCATTAAATCAAATCCACTCAGGATAATAACTCAGGGAATATCAACCAACAGTGTCTCTTCTGCACCTGTGGCTCAGCTCAAACCCATCACAGCCAGCCCAGGTTCTCCCTTTGTCACAGGACAAGTGCTGCTCTGTTTACACAATCCTTTTTCATCACCCTTAGAGCTGCATCGGTTAGAAACTCCTGGGAGGAAAAAAAACAATCCTGGTTTAGAGATTTCTTTCTGTCTCTACTGCTTAAAACAGGCAGGAAAATTAATCTGCAGCTGAGGATTTCAGAGCTGAAGCCCAGTTCAGGGTTAGAGAGGCAGGGAAGCTGATCCTCCCACAGGATCACACAGATTTGTGTTTCTTTGACAAGCTAAACATAGGTACAGCCACGTATTTTCATACACACATCCTCTTCAGGTTAGTTTTTAATACTTCCACACTTCTGGAAGCTCCCTGTTACTGTAACAAGAATTTGCAAAGTCTGTCTGAAGGAGAAAGCTCAAACTTATTTCAGTTACACGCTTGGGTACCAGTCTGGATAGAAGTTTAAAGGTTTATATAAAAATGTTCCATTACAGACAGCATTGGGAATTAAGTGAAAATTCCTCCCCAGAGTTCAGGATATCAATTAATAAAATTCTCTGTATTTTGATTTTTCTACCCATCTCACAGCTTTCCACATTAATGAGGTTATGAACATACTACCACGCCAGGCAATAATAGTTGAAATATTTGAGTAATTAAGGGTAATTAATAAAAATCTTTTCTTCTTAAAGTTCCCTTTCTGTTTGATAACAAATTAGCCCTGCATGAGGATAGCTGTTTTTAATATCACACACACACACACACAAAAAAAAAAAAAAAATCCAGCCTAATTTAAATATATTGGAAGGTACCACTTCTTTAATTGGTTAACTGAGTATTTCTTTGATCTTTATTATTCCTTCTGATGATATTTCCCATCACTGTTAAACAGCTGTTTCCTGCAGTGTTTTTAAAAGATAAACTGACAATTTTGAATTATTTCAGCAATTGTACTGTAACCTCATATCAGTCTAAATGATACGTAATTTTACTTGTTATATTTGGAAATAGAGTTTAAAATATAAAATAATAGCAACAGGTGTCTTAAAGCCCCTCCCAAAGCGTACTTCAGTGGGACTGAGATTTTGGTTTCACTGAAGCAGTTTGTGATGATAAACCACTCTGATGGGTGATTTTCAGTCTACTTCAAAGCCAGAGATATTTGCAAGTGTCTGCCCAGGCTGAAATGCTGAACCATGCCTTTCTCTGGTCCCTGAGCAGCAGTGAAAACAATAGTGAAAAATCAAAATTATCTTTTTTCTGGGTGGGATTGTGCTATGTTAAGGGGAAAAAAAAAATTCCCTCCAGCAGCTGTATGTCATTAAAAATTAAATATAAAAAAAAATTATTTTCTGATGCGTGTTTTTAGCCTAGAGCAGATAGAATACATCAAAGGGGAGAAAATCCTCTCAATCCCTCAAGTGTCTGAGAAAAACATAACATTTTAACAAGAGGCCCAAAACTAGTGAACATTTAAATAGTTTCTTGTAACTTTTAATGGCCCTTAGCGTATTACCAGCCAAAAAATTCCATCATGATTTCCACAGACTCCTTCTTGAACTTTGTTAAGACGCTTAATTGCTCTCTCGACCTTGTCACATCTTTCAAAACATTAATTGTGGTACTTGCATATGGCATTCAGTAGGAGTAAATATCTTTTGGGCTGTTGAAGTTCTTATGCTACAAACCATCAACAATTTGCCATTCCTTTTTTCTCCAGCTCTCTATTGATTTCAATTTCCCTGGCAAAGGTTTCCTGCTCCTCTTGAAGGAAAATCCTGAATGATTCAGACAAGCACTCCTGAGGGACTTGGTTAATCCACTTAATGAAACACAAATTGTTGGGTTTCTGAAACAAATCCGCTCTTGGGCTGAACAAGGGCTGTTCTCTGAGAACAGGTCCTGGAACACAGGATTTGACATGCACTGGGGAGGAGACTTCAGCTGTCCTTATGTCTAACACTGACCCATGGAGATAAAAATTTCCTCCCATCCTTTCCAATCCTGCTGGAAAACCCCTGCATTTTTTTTTAAACTGCATGATGCTCAAAAGCTGTTGTAATCAGTCATGTATGGAATCATAGAAACAAAACCTAAAGGGTTTCCTGCCTAAATGTGGATTAATATTGGAGTAGTCAACAGCTGAAAACAGTATGGGATCAGCTGAATCTTAGCCTGAACTTTAGCTGCTTCAAGAATTGCTAAAAGGGGCTCTCCAGACTTTCCAGGGCCTTAGCAAAGCATTCCAGCTCTTTCTTCATCAGGAAACAGTAACCTGCTGACAGGTCTTCTACCTGTGCATGGCCAAAAATGATGTTATTCCTGCTCAGAAACTGCCTGATTTCATCAGCCATGAAGCATGAGCCTCAAAGTCAACTGAATAAGATGTCAAGTCATCAAAAGAAAGACAAAAACTGCAAACCAAACCATCTTTAATGGGAGCATTCCATCTGCAGACAGCGTGGGGAGAGAATGGAGCTTGTATGGTGCACTTCCTACAGGGAAGGTTCTAAAAATACAGAAATCTAAAGGAAGTCAATGCAAATCAGACAGATTAGCCTATAGGAAAAATGGAATTGGCTAAAAATCCCCATCTCCACTGGGCAGCTCCAGTTCCACCATCCCAATAACTGCTGCTGTGACAGGAAAAGTTTTTTTTTTCCTCTTGGAATACTCTTTAGGATAATTCTGGGAGAAGAGATGCACTAGAGTGACTGGATTCACTCTGAATGAGGTTGCTCTTGTTTCCCTCATAAAGCAGCACAGTCACAGACAAAAAAAAGTCTATGTCCCCTCTTGTTTATATCTTGTTTCCCAGCAATATTTTTTTTCTGTCCACCAAATGCACATTTTCCCTTCCCAGCTCGAGCCTCATTCCAGTTAAAAGTCACAAGGCAAATATGAGATTGCCTAAATCCTCTTGCCAGGCATCTTATTGCTATTTCTCTTATTCCTGCCAAGGAGTTTCCTATTATTTTCCATGTCAAGGCTGAGGTAGAACACAAACACGAGTGCAAGAAAACTTCCTTGTGCGGTGTAGGGATGTGCAGTTAAAGATGGCAACTCAGGTGTATTTGTAACAGTGAAATCAAAGCAGATGGTGTGCTTCAACACCTTAATCATTGATTTCCACCCCCCCACCCCCACAAGCAGTTTGCACCCACCTTTCACCAAAGTGTGTTTGTCCGTGGGGGAAGAGCGAGCAAGCACCCGGAGCTTTGGCCAGATTTTGTCAATCCGTTCCTGCTCGATCTGCAGGGGGGGAACACAAAAAAAAGAACCAAAAGAGTAAAACCCCTGGCCTGTGGTGAGCAAAAATTTATGTTATTATGTCAGAAAATTCCCCTCATTGCTCAAACCTGCAGCTTTTCTCCAAAAGCACAGAAAAATTCCAGCAGCCATTGATGCTGCAAGTGAAGACAAGGCCAGTACTAACAGAGCTCAACTGCTGGCTAACACAGGTAAATTTTCCACAATACCTAACCAGCTTTTCTCATCATGGTTATGGATAATTCCACCCAGAGTTGGCATTCTAGATAAAGGATACTGGAGTTTCTCAAAGCTGATCAAACCTGTTCACAAGTTTGTTGCTCTGCTCCACAGGAGAACTCAAATCTTCATTTAGCACCAATAATGGCACGATCTTCTTGTGTAGCAACAGGAACAAAGCCAAACTTGGTGCATTTACTAACATTCCCAGGATTCTACCCATCCATCCATGCAGGGAGAAAATTACTGTGTTCACTCATTTATGATGGACTTAAGAGCCAGCACAGATTTTTCTTTTTTAGAACTGTGTGTGAACTCCATCTTTGATGAGGAGTTAAAAATCTTCCAAAGGATAGATTTTTTTTTTATGTAAATCATTGCTGTGAGTACATTAGAGAAAATGGAATAAATTAAAGAAATGAGAGGAGCTGGTTCTCAGTACAGATTGCATCTTAGGAGCAAAATTGCTGTCGAGTTCCTTCTCCTCCTTGCCATAAACCTGCTTTAATGGGCTTAGTTTTGATTGCTTGTGGAGTAGTGCAGTGGTTCAAAAAACTGCGGAATTAGACCAGCACTAAACAGATCCTGGAAGAGCAGAGAATGGAATTTCACCACTGTTTTGAATTACAAATATTTAGTGGGAGAAAAAAAAAAGAATTTTTCCAAGCGGTCTTTACTGTTATGAGGTACACACCAGTGCAGGAAAATATTTTAGCATTTTCACTGGATTTTATTCACCTCTCCCTTCTCATTTCGGATCCTCCTGTTGAACTCCTTCCCCTCGAGGCAGAGGAAGTCCTCTCCAGGGTGGATGATGCCACATTTGATGGCGATGGCACGCGCAGTGTTGATGTTGTCCCCGGTGACCATGCGCACGGTGATCCCGGCTCGCTGGCACTTCCGGATGGCTTCTGGCACCTGCAGGTGACCCCTTAGGATTTTAGCTTTTGTATTTTTCAATTCCTGTGCTGCATTAGTGCGTAACTCTAAACTCCATGCAGAGTGCTAGTTACTGTCCTCACATTTTGTCAGACACAATTATTAATTACACACAGGTACTGCCACACTACTAAATTGTGTACAGTGTAAGATACACAACAATTCCTCTCTGGGACTGGAACTCAAGGGCACCTCACTGCCCCAGGCCCCAAAAAGTACAAACAGACGTGAGCTGGGGGGAGCAGACTGGGGGTAAATGACTTCATTACCTGCAGCTGGAATTGGAGCATTAACCCCTGCTATGGAAATGGCCCAAACTGAAAATTGTGTGAAAAACTGGTGCCCATCGCCCACCTTGGGTGCAGCCTCTGGAGGCTGTGGCTGCCCAAGCTGTGCCTGCTGAAGGCTTTAATAAATCCCCACTTTATTCTCTTCCCCTTGCCTGGCCTCTGCTCTGGGGCCCTCCAAGGCATCACAGTAGCAAGGCAAGGGCAAAGAGAACTCCTGGATCAGAGATCAAACACAAGGCAGGTGTTCCCATCCAGAACAATTTCAGGCTAAGAAATGCCTGAAGCAGGAAGAGGAATCAGGTGTGTTTTATTGTTACTTGACTGTTGAGTTGGGGTCACTCCACAGGTAAGGCAAATCTTTTTATCAAGTAAAAACATATCTTTTAGATACTTCCTTCAACTTTCTCCTGTCTGAATATAAATGAGTGCTCTGCAGCTTTTCTGACCTTTAGCAAGCTGAACATAACTACTTAATACATGTAAATATGAATGGAGCATACAAACATTCTGTACAGAAAATTATTTTACTTCTGATCCAAACTTTCCTTTGAACAAGATTTTAAAAGTTATTGTGATTTATCACTACTTAATTCATGCTTATCAACAGGTGGAATTCCTAAATACAGGAGTTTAAAATTAGTATTTTATGTATTTAAAAATCATTAAATGAAGCCTGACTTTACTTATGCCTTTTCATGCATGAGATAAACTTCTGCTGCACAGGAAATGTATAAGGGAGACAGTATATGACAGGGGCTGTGAGATTAATGTACAGGCTCCATTCTGACTTGGCAACCTACACATCTTTTTTAAAAAAAGTAATAAATTCAGGAATTAAAAGAAAACATTGATTTCTAATAATTAAATAAAGCTGTTTTAATACAGTACTTCAGTAAATGAAGGCTATAGAAAGGGTCCATGTCTATAGCTCAGTTTCAGATGAGGAACAAAATTCTGTTCCCTTAAACTACATCTAATTAATTATAATTTCTAAGTAAATATCACTAACCAATTAATTCAGTCTCATCACATTTTTGCATTATTTTGCATCAGTGTTATGAAAGCATTATTTCTTCAAGAGAAAAACAGCAATATTATTTAAAGTGGGAGAATAAGGAACGTGTTTACCATGTCCAGAACAGCCTGGATGTCATTCTTCAGTGCAACACCCCTTCTCTAAATTTCATTTTTACCTACAAGAGTCTAGAGCACCCCAGAATTCATCACAAAGGCTGAAGCTCTTCACAGAACTACAGGGAAGTGAACTGCCGTACTCAGAAGATGGCAGTGCACAATTATTAAAAATTATTTTAAAACCCCACAACTATTTAATAAAAGGTATCAAAGTGGATATTATTGTGTGTATTCGGTGCACCTTGCTGATCACAACCTCCAGCACAGATGTAAATGTGTTGTGCAATTCAATGCCTGTTTGAGTGGATTCATCCCATCCATTAGTGCAGAAAATGCTGACAAAAAGAGACACCATCTCCAACATTACACTGTTAATTTTATGCATTTCTAGATATTTTCATTTCCTCTGTAGCAGGGGACACCACTAAGGGCATATTTATGACAACCCTTGCCCTGAGCCAACGTGGCAACCTTGGGCTTTGAGGGATTTCCTGGGGCCAGGAGGGCACTGAAAACCCTAAAACCCTCCACCACACCACAGATAATGCTTCTCCCAGCCTGGGAATAATTCCACACCATGTTTGTGAATATTTATGAAAGGCAGTTTGTGGAGTTCCTGTTTTCCAAAACGCCTCCCTAACCCAACACCTCAGTGAAGACCAGAGCAAGCACATTTCCCTGGATTCTCAGGAAAATCCCTCCACCCGGAGTGTGTCCATAGGATGTGCTGTTTGCAGGACTCTGGCAACACAGATCACAAAATCAAGGGCAGAATTCAGGGACAGAGCTTTATCTTCCCATTTCCTCACCTCTAACTGGGGTTATTTCCCCCACAAATGGTACACCCTGGAAAAATCATTTCCACCTGAAGGTTTTTAGTGATGTGACCTAGGTTTCTATAGGGGAATGTATAATCAGGTCCAACCTGTTCCTTAAGCAAATGGCCCCTGATTTCCCCAGTTTTCACATTCATAATCCTGCCTAAATCCCATTTGTCAATTGGAAATGCTTTTGGTACCCACTTGGAGCTGTGGTGACCCTGGTGCATAGGACAGGACAGATTTAGATGGAAATCTGGAAAACCAGCCCAATGGATGGGCCATGAAGGAGAAAAATAAATTACAGTGCAAGCAGCAAAAAAAATGTTCATTCCCATGAAGGGTCAGTCCCATTGAATAAGGTCAGGGGAGGAGAGGCCCAGTTGCAAACACATCTCAAACTCACATCTAACTGGAGAAATCATTCTGTTTTCCTCTCCTGTCATTTTCTGGACAGCTGGTGGGTGGTATCTGATTTAATGGTGTGTACAGTAATTACAGTTAAAATATTGTTCATATTTTTTTTTATTGCTGTAAGGGAGAAAGAATGTTGGCAGACTGAGTGGGCAGAAGAAGCAGATATTTTCCATCAGTTTTGCAGAGCTTAAGTACACATTTCACAATTTTTGGGTTTATTTTCCCTCTGCAAAGCGAAATTTCCAATGAAAGCACGCATGCACAAAGAATCCAATGCAGGAATATCTTTCCCAATCAGGTGACAAATAAATAGGAGATATTTGGAAGGGATTTATGTTCATCTCCCAGAAATAACAGACTGGAGGCGTTTTCTGGCAGATCAGTGTGAGCCAGTTCAGGCTCATTAAAATCAAGCCAGAAAGAGTGTCAGGATCAACAGAGAATCTCTGCAGGAGAAGGGCATCACTCTGTTTGTTCTCTTCCTGTATATTTATCAAAGAAAAATAAAAAAACACGCCCACAAAATATAAATATCAAGCAAGTAGTTCAGTGCTTGCTAAATCCAGCAGCTGCTGGTGGCTAAGATGGTGTCTGAATTACCTGGGAATATGGAAATGCCATGGGTGTCCGTGGTGGGAATTCAGAGAAAACTTTACAGTTGTTGGACATCGGTGTTGAATAACTTGTTCAAATTGGGTTTTTTAGTGTATGAGGGAGATGTGAGTGCCAGAAATCTCCCTGAGTATCCCAAGAATATCCCTGGAAGGAGGAGGGAGGAAGGACTCATCCAAAACAGCTGGTGTTCCCATGTGGGATCACTCCTGGATGCACAGGAGCCATGTCCCACAGGATCCACAGGACAGCCCAACACCACCTCAGGGAAAAGGAGAATCCTGATTCTTCCCCAGAAAACACAGGAATGTAACTGAAAGGAAGGTAAAGGCTGCCAGGACTGGGACATTTTTATTGGAATTTCCTGATTTATCACCTCCATTCAAATAAAGCCTGACACCCATGAATATTGAGAATATTGATAAAACAGCACTTTTAGTAAGAATTCTAATTTTTGTGTTCTTTTTTTTTTTTTTTTTTTTTTTTCCCTACAGAAAGCACATTGAAAATGCATAAGCTCCAATGGGGAGTCAATTTAATGGGCAGATTTCATTTTGGCTGAATATTCCCTATAACTGCTCAACATCTTGCTATTTACATCAGCAATGGGGATTTCACATATGCACATTACAATATTCCAACCAAGTCAGATATTCCAAACTTAAAGAGTTTTCTGAACTTTATGTTTTTCTCCTGGCTCAGGGTTTATTGGTTCATTTATTTCCCCTAAGGTAATGCTTCTTATAATGTGCACAAGAGTAATAATTTAAATATTGGTTTAAATATTTTCATGATGATATTTCCACTTCAAAACAGTCAAAAGGGACAAGGTGGAAAAAAAACAAAAACCCAAGGCCCAAATCCCAAATGTCCAAATTTTGCTAAAATTCTGAAATTGCAAATATTTTATCATGCATCTTGCACTAAAATATAAATGTTCCTGCATGTTCTGGTGTATTGAAGAAATTCAATACAATATTCAAGTGTTTATTTAGAAATAAGATGTTTTCCTACCTTCATTTCTTTGATTCTTTACATAGAAGTCAAATTTGCCCTCTATTTTTAGCAAAATTATTCACTTTTACCTCAAGCTCCCAAAAAATTATTCCCTACAAGATAAGAGCAGCTCTCTTACAAAACACCCTCCTAACAATCACATGAAAGGAGAGTTTGCACCTATTTTCCATAATAACTGCAAATCCCATTGCTCCCCAATCCCTCAGTCTGTCACACCACACGGAACCTGACTTAAAGATGTTTTCTAACGTGGATCATGATTTAATTTAGGAGGAGGAGAGGGTTGATTCACAGTTCCAGTGGCCACTGACAAAATATTTTTGAATATTTTCTGCAAAATATCCATATATGTGAGCTGGTGCATTAAAGGAGCACAGCAGACAGAACTTCTAAAGGACATTTTCCAACATTTTGAAAGGCTTGCAATGTCAGGCATGGGGACAGATGGATTAGCAGCAGGAGACCATCTGATGACAGATAAAGTGGTTGCTGTTTATCTGCTCTTTGTGGAGATAAGGAGTTTATCATCCAGTTGTCACCTAGACAAGATTTACTTTTTATTTTAACCTTCATACTGAACGAAAAATTCCAATAAAATCCATTCTGAGGCAAGGCTCAGTTGTGCAGTCAGTGCCTGGGGTTGTATCGTGTTAGTTCCAAAGTTACTGTCACCATTTCCAAACCCTAACATGGAATTAATAATTCTCCATTAATTACCAGGCACCAAATAGAGAGATCAGAATTCTCTAACTCAACCCTTTGTATTTCTGTAGGAATGTTATTTACAAGTGTAGAAGCAGGGATGTACTTCCAGTGTGCACGCCTACTACTGATTCACTCAGGTGAGTTGAACTGAAATTATATATATATATTTGTACATGTAAATGTGATATCCATGACAACTGCAGCCTTTCCTTGTTCAAATGCAACATTAAAAACAAATTTTCCTGGGTAGTCATCAGGTCACAATATTAAGTAAAGTGACAACTATTATAATAAATGGCAAAAAGTCCAGTTTCTTTGGAAAATGTCACTATAATCATGGCAATTTTAATCACTGCACTTGTCTTCCCTTCTTTCAGAGTTGTACATCACTGCACTGCTTAAAGGAAAATTCTTTAACATGTGGGAGCATTACAAAACCTCTGCTGATCATCTCAGCCCTGCAGTCCAAAAAGCCCTATATTCCTTTATTTAAATATAGTTATATTTTACCACCTTAATTATTTGGCTTTTTATCAAGTAAAACCCATTTCTAAAGCTGATTTTCAGCTTCTTTGAACAACCTAATTTAAAAAAGGAGATAAAACCTGTAAGAAAACTGCCATTCAGGTTATGTCCGGTTTTATATAAGATAAAAATTGGACGTACCTCTGGCCTTACTGGGTCTTCAATGCCAACGACACAGATGCAAGTCAGGTCAGATAAGATATCGTTCTCGTTGTCCCAGTCGGGCTCGGGGCTGCTGGGGAAGTCTCTGAAGGCCACACAGATGGTCCTCAGCCCATCACAGGCCATGGGCTCGATCACTTTCTTCACCATCTCGTCCCTGTCGCGGGGTCTGAAGATCCGCGGTTCCCCAGCGGCGTTGAGGATCCTGGAACACCTGGTTTGGACAAGGAAAAGAGAATAAAAACTGAGTGTGATGCTTTAGGATTTCAGCTTTTATATTTTCCATCCATTTGCACTCCTGCAGCTCTTTAGTGTGTAACTCCAAACCCCACAGGCAGTGCCAGCTGCAGCTTTCCCAACAATTCCTCTCCAGGCCTGGCACTCAAGGACACCTCACTGCCTCAGCCCCAGGGATGGGAACAAAAGGGACTTGGGGGAGCAAACCTGGGGTCAGTGACTTCAGTACCTGCAGCTGGAACTGGAAGATTAACCCCAATGTGCAAATGGACCAAACTTATAAAAGTATAAAAACCCAAAATCACCATGGCCCATTTTGGGTGTAGCCCTGGGGGATTTCATCTGCCCTAAATGCATCTTAAGGCCCTTCAATAAGTAGAACTGCTTTTTATTCCCCTAATTCTGTCCAGCCTCTGATTTTAGGTAGCCCCAAAAGGGCATCAAGTGTGCATCTGCATGACTGCCAAAGTATTTCCTGTATAAGCTCATTGCAGTCAATGCTTTCCTTTTCTGATGTCAGGTTTTAAGTTTCTGTTGTAAATTTCTAGAAGATTCACAACTGAAATATCAGAGAGAATTTGTAGCTTATTGCATAGACACCAAGAGCTCTTCATGCAATATTTTCTCAATAATGAGCTGGCAGCTTACAGTTAAATTGAAAGTGCTTATTTTCCAAATGGGTTGAATGTAAAGAATCCATTTGTAAATTACCAAAAGCAGACCCAATTTTTTGCTAAGGAAAAGAAGCCAATTTCCCAGAAGCACTTAAAAGAAATTAAAAAACAATAATAGCAGCTCATGCTGCTAAGGTGTGTCATATTTCTGGTGCAGGCAGCAAACTCCAAACCCCAGAATTCCCACATATTAGTGTTGGGTTGGTTTAGAATTTTGGAAAAAAACAAGGCCAGGGATGCAGTGCACTCACTTCTTGAGAACAATCTCGGAGGCTCCTTTGCTGTACATGCGGAAGCTGCCGTCTGGCATTTTAATGACCGTGCTCATGGACTTCCTCACGGAGTTGAAGGTGTAAACTTTGTAGAGCTTCTCCTCGGGGATGAGGCTCCGGACGGGCTCGTAATCCTGCTTCAGATCCAGGACAAACCCCAAGAGGCCACACTCTGTCTTGTTGCCCACCTGACGAGGCAGCCCGCCCTCTTTTTCTGGTGGCTGGAGAGAGGAGAAAAAAAATTGGAGATTAATTTCTCTCATTTCTCTGACTTCACAATTCAGAAGTTTAACATCTGATCTGTGCCGCCACAAGTCTTCCAGTTTTTAAAAGCAAGGTAAAAATTCCATGGAGCTCCAACAGACTTGAAGCATCTCCTCACAAGAAGAAACATTTCTCTAGACAATATTTGCCGCATTTGGTCTCTTGTATTTCTTTCTTCTTAAATTAGCAATTGGCAGCTTGTGATGGTTGGGCAATCCATGAAAAAGTAAGTAACTTTCTTTAGGCTGAAAACCAAGCAATTCTCACTTGTTACAAACAGGATTTCCTTTTCTCTCTTGCTTAGGATTCCATTGGTTTGCTGATTTTCACAGCTTTAAAAGTGAGTTAAAGAAAGCTCTATGTTCTTTTGGTTTTTTTTTTTTTTTCCTGCCAGGCACATTTTATATAAAGATAAATCTCCATCCGACCATAACAACAAATCTCAGTGAAAAAAATCTATAAAATAATAGTCCTGTATCTAAATATACCTGTTTCTAGAATTACTTTGGTCTGTTGCTTCAGACAAATAAATTCTATGTATGTTAGAGAAAATGGAGTAGCTGAACACTGTGCAACTTCTACGAATTTTCAGTCCTTCTGAAGGAGAGAAGGAAGGACAAGGAAGACTTTAAATTCCCTTTCAAAACAGAAATAAACACTTAATTTACAAATTTTCTTGGGAGTGTTGTACACTCCAAACAAAATATTCCTGTGCCAGGGCCCCAGATATCAAGTGGCCAATGTGTGAACTATAAACTATTGATAACTCACATTTTCTTATGCTCAGTAGAATTAAAAAGTGTTCCTTAAGCCAGGGCTAAACTCCCCTTATGGGAATAAAAACAGGAAATCATCTCACAGCTTTAATTTGCACTGAAAACAGATTTTGATTTGGCCCAAACCAAGACTCTAAGCCATCATTTTCAATGTGCGTTAAACATTTACCTCACCTCACATTTTGCAGAATTACGACTGCAGGACTCTATTCAGAATGTGTGTTTAATTTCACTTTAAAACTCAGTTTACTTCAGAAACGGGCTTCATAATAGGTAGAACTTCCTACACTGTCCCTCACTGGGATGAGGGCACACAAAGGGAATGATTAAAGCTGCAAATCAGACATCCTATTGGATTTGGATTCTTGCAACAAGTATGGCCACCAAAAGGGAAAAGGGGACCTTTTAAATGAGCATTGGTAATTAATTATCCCAGAAAACCACCCATTGCAGCTGGTTTAAAAAATGAAGATCAGGTAGATAACAGACTGGTCTAGAACTGAAGTAAACAAATAAACATTATGTTTTCCAAAAGAATCCTCTCCCTACCAGCAGGAAGATTGATACCTGGTGCCAAGTAGATGAATGTCATTTTTTTTTCATAGAGAAGCAGCTACAAAGAACAACAGAGAAAAACCCAAAAATCTCTGTCTGAAAGAGATTTATCCTTCAAAAAAAGGATTGTAACATCTTTCTTTTATGTGAACCATAATTTATACTGACTAATATGGGTCACTCTGGTGTTGCTGTGACATTTTAACATCACTCCAGGGTCACTGTAAAACACTGACATTCAGCAAAAATGCCAGTGAGATACATTAATTTTATTACCTGCTATAAGAACTTGTCCTGCTGTAACCTCATTATACTGTGATGTAACTTCCCTCTGGATTCTCAAATTCACTTAAGAATCCCTAATTCAAAATGGGAGTGCTCGTAGTGAGGCGTATCTGGAATTCAGTGGATGTGAAAATCTCAGGAGTCAAAAAAATACCTTTTAAAATCCAGTTTTGTTTACTTAAATAAGATTTGTTTTCCTGGCATTGCAGGCACAGGGTTCCTGAAATCTGACAAGAACTTCAGGTTTCTCAAAGCAACAGAGGAACCAACATCAGTGCCTCGGTAGTGATGGTTTCCAGGGAAGATCCATTCCTCTGGGCATATTAAATCCAACTCCTCTCATTTTAGATCTAAATCCTCATTTATGCTTCTCTTTGCCACTGAACTCAATGAAAATTGTCATTGAAGTAAATGTGAATGTGGTCAGGCCACTGGAACACTTCCGGAACCCAAAGAAAGACAAAGTTTTCCATCAAAGTCAGAAAATTGTAGACAATAAATAATTTATAGATATTATTTCATCATGCCCTGATGCCAATGGAAATCAAGAAAATAGAAACCTGCCCACATTTCTCAACACAAAAAACTAACCATCAGAGTCCTTCCAAAATCCCCTTTATTTCAACAAAAAGTAGATCACACTCCCCTGCTCTTACCACGGCCTAAAAATAGATTTCTTCCAGGGAACATCTTTTGAATGCAAATACGTAAGCAAGGAGGGGAAAAAAATACCCATGAAAAGAAAAGGAACAGACACTTCGGAAAGGTTTCAAAATCGAACAAGTGGCCACCTCCCTGCAGAGCAGCTGCTGTCTCCATATTCTTTGTGCATTACATTAGGGGCAAGCATATGGTGCTGAGAGCTGGCACGGAGCACTTCCTTCCCTGCACCGTTCCAGCTCAAAATCTATATGCCAGGAGCAGCCTCCTTGCAGATTGTTCTTGACAATCCCTTGCAGAAGCTGCTGCCTCTGAAAGTTCCTGCTGGGCTGGAGCTAAATTTATTTCTCGCTGAATTCTGCGGTTCATGGCACCTGGAAAACAAGGACAGCCCGATGGGGGTGCTCAGGAAGGATTGGCTGGGAGCAGCTTCAGTGACCCCTCAGAGGATGGGACTGATGCCTTAAGATTTCAGCTTTTGCATTTTCCATCCATTTGTGCCCCTGCAGCTCTTTAGTGTGTAACTCCAAACCCCACAGGCAGTGCCAGCTGCAGCTTTCCCAACAATTCCTCTCCAGGCCTGGCACTCAAGGACACCTCACTGCCTCAGCCCCAGGGATGGGAACAAAAGGGACTTGGGGGAGCAAACCTGGGGTCAGTGATTTCAGTACCTGCAGCTGGAACTGGAAGATTAACCCCCATGTGCAAATGGAACAAACTTATAAAAAGATAAAAATGTGTGACTCGTGGTCCATTTTGGGTGTAGCCCCTGGGGGACTTCATCTGCCCAAAATGTACCTGAAGGCCCTTCAATAAATAGAACTGCTTTTGATTTCTTTAGTTTTGTCTGGTTTTAGATAGCCCCAAAAAGGCATCATGACCCTTGGAAGAGGTGAGGGGGAAAGGCTTTGAGCTGAGATTTACCACAGGGAGCTCCAGCAAGGACCTTCTGCTCCCCACAGGTCACCTGCAATCTGTTCCATCACCTGCTTGGAAGGGACTGAGCCAGGATCTTCCCCCAGCCATGACCCTTGCAGAATTGTTTCAAACATTTCTCCCAAGCCTTTGGATTTTTTTACCCACAGCATTTCAATTGCAAGCAGCTACTCCCATGTAGAAGAACCCCCAGACAGATGTTTAAAAAGCCATGGTTACACCCAGCAGATCAAAATAGGTTTCTAGGTCAAACTACAGCTGCTTTACCAAGGCTTAAAAATACCAATCCAAAGCCAGTATTGACCTGATACTGAGTTTGGATTACAAAGGGAATTTTCAGAATTGTTTCACTGGGAAATAATTGACTAATAAAAGGGTTTAAGAAGAAAGATAATGTTCTGGGCATAATTTAAAGAGGTGCTCCAACCTGTAGAATTAAATTAGTAAGTAATTTCCTTTTTTGTCCTAAGTCTTTACTAAAATTCCCTTTTCTCACTGCCCTTTCTCTGCAAAAAGACCCAAGAAATCCTTCCACATTAAAACGTCAGGATTTTCTATATTATCTGAAGTCTTAATTTGTTGTATGTTACTCTCCTGTGTTCTACAGATTGAACTACTCATTTAGAATAACAATGACATTAAATATTCTAATTTATTAACATGAAAAACGAGCTTTGCTAAAAATACTATATCACTATTGAGTTTTCTATTTCAACCCAGCATCTCAACAGGAAAACAGAGGAAAACAAAAACTTTTTAAAATTAAATTGCAGGAGATTTCCACTTCATACTCTAATTACTCAAACAAAAGACAAAATGGACCAGGATGCACAAGATTTTTTCTCTGTATAATTAAACACATTATATGTAAAATTTAAAATAACCAAGAAGGATGAATACTGTTCAAACTATGTGATATTTTTATTTGTGAATTCCTAATACTGCAAAAAGGACTACTAAAGAACTGTGGTCCTATCAGAGATATTCTCTTGCTACATAATTTAATAATATTTTAATGTAAGAAACGTAAAACAAGATTAAAACATGCCAATTTATAAACAAATGTTCCAGCTTTTTGCAGATACAGCTTCCTTCAAATGACTTCAATCTAAAACAAGAGATTTTGCCTGTTTATCTTAGAGGAAAGCTGAAAAATGAAAGGGGTGAGTCTTTTTTAGCCAAGGATTAAGAACTGAAAACTTTTCTCAACTAAATAAAGTTTCCCTTTACAAAATGGGAAACAGTTCCAGAAGCTCTATTGGCAAGAGGATGGCAGTGAAATACCAGCCCTCAGCTGGTTTAGAATTTGTGTTTAGAATTTCTCTGGGATTCTGGAGCCAGAGCAATGGTTTAACCCCAGATGGAAACCAAAAAAGGAGCCTCTTTTCTCAATACACTTCCCCCTGAGATGGTACAGGGAGGAAAATAAGAAATATATCAACCCCTGACTGAGATAAGAACAGATTCCCTACAAACACCTGGCAGCAGCTGTGCACCCTTAAAATGCTGTGAATTTATTTCCACAGGGTCTCTCTGTAGGCATAAAAATCAGCTTTTCTATCTGTGTGGACTGGGATCCCTGCAGCCTCGAGGGCAGCCCTGGAACAATATCATTGATGACAATTTTTCCTCACAGAGTTTGGAAGTTTCTGGGAGGTTTCCATGTTAATGGTGAATAAGTTGCCTGTTTTACACAGAGCAGGATGATTTGTGGTACCACACAGCTGCTTCCCAGCTCAGAACCA